CCTGGGCCCAAAGAAGAGAGAGAGAGCTGTAGTTACAACATTACCTCAGAACTGAGGCGCCTGGGTTGCTCAGTTGGTTAAGCATCTGACTTTGACTCTGCCTTTGGCTTAGGTCATGATCCCCAGGTCCTGGAATGGAGTCCCAAGTGGGCTCCCTGCTCAGTAGGGAGTCTGCTTCTCCCTCTCCCTCTGCCTCTCCCCCGGCCTGTGTACGCACTCTCTCTCAAATAAATAAATCAAATCTTAAAAACAAAAAGGAAACAAAAACAAAACAGAAAAATAAAACATTACCTCAGAACTGAGAGGTGGGAATTCAGAAGAGTAAGTTTTTTTGGACAACTAGTGAGTGAGTGGGGCCTGTGTTCCAGAAAACCCATCCAGGGAAGAGCCCACAGGAGACAGAGATAACGTGGACAGATAACTTCTCAGGACAAGTATCCCAGGGCAGGCTCTCACACCATCTGAGCTTAGCCCCTTCCTCTGAGGTCGAAGTGCCTCATCAGTATGTAGCCCACCCATTACCGGGTACCTTAGAAAAGTATCACCAAGGACTCATGTACATTTGCCAAGTTGAATAAGTAACAATAGTTTACCTTGCTTAGCCTTAGATGTCTCGTTACCAGGAAGGTATAAACAAGTGGGAGGGAGTTTGAAATAGGACAATAAAAATAATGAAGGGGCTGGCTCTGTTTATGTGAGGAAAAATTAGTATATGTGCTGCTGAAGCGAGCACAATGTGAGGAAAAATTAAATGAAGCAGATCTCTTAAGAGGCTGGGCCCTAACTGTGTGAATGTGGGGGAAGATGGGTGATTATTGTTTCTAGCAAGAGGGAGGTGAGTAAATGGGGACATGGTGGGAAAATAGGGCCCAGAATGGGAGGGTGCCCTTTGGAGCATATGGGAACACATCCACAGGAAGACTTGTTCTCAGATGTTCATAGCAGCTTTATTTATAATAATCCCAAAGGAAATGAACCCCAACATCCATCCACAAGTGAAAGGGTGAACAAATTGTGCTATAGCCATAGGGTGAAATACTCCTCAGAAATAAAAAGGAGAAAAAAAAAAAAGAACCAGACCAAAAGGAGTACATATTGAAGGATTAAATTTATATGAAACTCCAGAAAGCAGAAAGTGCAAACTGATCTATACAGCAAGAAAAAGCAGATCAGTGGTTGCCCCAGGGACAGGAACGGAAGGAAAGCAAAAGGGTACAAGGAAAGTTTGGGCAGGGACGATATGTTTATTATCTTAATTGTGGTCACAGTTTTACCTGTGAACACGTATATCAAGACTCATCAAATTGTACAGTTTATTCTGTATCAATTGCCCCTCAGTAAAGGTATAATAATAATAATAAACAACCCAAGCACTGAGGAGAATGGGCTGGAGAGATCTCCTGAAAAGAGAGATGAAATAGATTTTCTTGCAAATGAGGAGCCAAGCTGCTGATTTGACCTCAGAGAACTTCTCCAGTAAGCTTTGCCTCATAAGGCTTTCCTAGGTTCTGGTAATGGAAAAAGGAGATGGGAAGAAAAATCACTACAGTAGAGATCTAGATTTACTATTTGGGTGCAAAAATCTTATTAGCACCTGGAGGCTTACGAGTAAAATGTTGAAACCTTACTTGCTCAACACCTGATCCTTTTAGACTTTGCCTCATTTCCCTTAGGACCACCGAGATATCACTCTGCTCAGTCTTCCCCTCTCAAACTACACCAAGTGTGGCTGAACCAAGAAAAAGAGCAGGAATGGGGAGAGAAGAGGACATTGCAGAAACTACCTCTGATCCTATAGTACCCATTCCTGACTCCATTTCTTCCTGGGTTGGAGGTTCCAAGAAGGGGGAGGTAGAAAGACTTTAGGGGCGTCTGGGTGGGTTGAGCCTCTGCCTTCGGCTCGGGTCGTGATCTTCTGATGGGGGTCCTGGGATCGGCCCGCTTGGGGCTCTCTGCTCGGTGGGGAGCCTACTTCCCCCTCTCTCTCTGCCTGCCTCTCTGCCTATTTGTGATCTCTGTCAAATAAATAAATAAAATCTTTGGGGGGAAATAAAAAAGAAGCACACCTTAAACCCAGCCTGACAACCAGGCTAAGCTATGTCTTTCTGAGTGCTTAGAATCTTTCCAAAAAGATGAGGCTCAACATTCTTAAAATTCTAGAGAGAAGAGTATCTCTCAGGTACTAGGAAGAAGGGTCAAGGGTCCTTAAAACCTGCTTCATCTTTTTCTTCAGAATCTAATCCTAGCTTTGGCTGGCCGGGTTTCCCTACCCCCTTGGCTCTCCCACCGCACTCCCCTCTGTCCTCCACGTCCCTGAGGCCCTGGACAATGCCCCCAGGTCACAGTCAATTGTTCAACACTATCTGGGTCCCTTCCTAAACCTCAGCCTTGATGATGATAGAGCTTTTATCAGCACTGCCCTATGCCTTTGGTTTTAGATTACCCTCACAGGAGCAGGAGTTAAAATGAACACTTTTTTTTTTTTTTTTAATACTATAGGATCGTAAAATGGGACAATTTTTGAGTCTTGCTCTGTTTCAGCTGTGTGGAGAAACTTGAGTTTCTAGTGGCAGAATCCAAAGGAACCCCGGTGACAGGACTAATAAATATTAGCTAGCAATCTTGGCAGAATTTCTCAACAAGCCATCTGCATCAGAATTGCTGGGCATGGTTGTTAAGAAGACTAGTTCCAGGTCCCCATCCCAGACCTCAAGAATAAGATGCCCTAGGAAGGGGGCCTGGGAATCTGATTCTGATGCATCGTAATAATAACATAGAGATTTTCTGCTTTAGAGGAACAGAATCTTTTTGCCCCTTCTTTCATACTTTATTCTTGCCATGTTCTCCCTCCCCCGCGCACCCCCTTCCCCACTGCCCGCCTTGGTAGTCTGTGGTGAGGAATTATTAAGAATGTGTAACAGGCACGGACTTGTGTTTCTGGGCCCAGAGTGAGATGGGAAGGGGTAGGTGGGGCTGGGAAAAGGTGTGTCAATACAAATATTGTCTCATCAGGACTGGCAATTTTGCCAGGATCTCACAGGGATGTGCCCTTAGCTATGGAAGGTGGTTTGGTTCCTCCTGTTCCAGGCTGAGGAGTCTGATATCATGGGAAAGGGCAGAGACCAACAGGGTTGGTAGTTGAAGGCTAGAAAGGAAAAGAAAAAATTGGGCTAATGCTAGGAGATTGCTGGAATTGCCCTGGCTCCAGAAGCATTTCCCATGGGTAACCTGGGAGACCCTCAGAGGGAGAAGGAGTGGGTTAGACGTCAACCCCACACAAGGCCTGATAGCCATACTGGGTATAGAAGATACTTCCCTGTCCTTGACTGGGAGGATCAGACGTTGAGAGAGGAGCCAAGGCTTGGGAATTCCAGAACATCAAGTCTATTGCACCCAAATGACCAATGGATGGTAGTGTCAGAGCAATTCATGAAAGGCTCAAATCAGGGTTGAAGGTAGTGCTTGCATTCAATAGCCTATCCATTCACCCTCCCAGGCAGTCACCAACACCCTCCCTGGCTCACAGACAAAGCAAGTCAATTGAGCTGACTCCTACTTACCCTTCCCAATTCAGTTTTTCCACTTTTCCTAAACTTTTAAGCGGGTTGGGTGTCCTTGTCCATCTCTCATAGAGTCCTACACTTGTCCACATTATATAACATAACACCATGTTACAATTTTTGGCTTATGTCTCTGTCTCCTCAACCAACAATCTGCATTGTTGTGACCAGCTCAAGGCCTCTCACAGAGCAGACAGATGCTAATAAGCCCCTCTGAACTGCTCCAGCCATGAGTATGCACCATCAGGGAGCTGGGGCTGGGGAACCTAGCACCTCAGGCCTCCTACACAATGGGGACAAACTTGGTCTGGATGGGAACCTTAAATACCAAGCCAACCTCCTGCCCACTCTGCCCTGTATTCCTGGAAGCTGCCAAGGATCACAGCTCCAGCTGGCACGCAATGAGATTTCTTCCTGGAAGGATTCTTGATTTGAGAACTGGCCCTCACCTCTTCTAGGCTTCTTCGACTCCCTCAGGTTTCTGGGGCCATGGAAGATGGGGAGGAGAGGCTGAGTCAGCTCTAGCCTTGTTACTATTTCCCAAAGCCCTTGTGCCCATCCTTCATCTCCCCTAAGTATATATAGCAGGGATTCCCAAGAACATGGCTTTCTCCAGCCCTGGGTAGAGAAGGAGGGGCAGGGCCAGCCAAACATTTGGGGCTAAGAGAATAGCACTGGCCCTGGGCACTCCTGTTCCACTTCTGCCTCTGGCCTTCGTTAGCTTTAATTAACCGAGATAAGGCTGCAATCCACCCTGATGGAGGCCCAGTATCAAGAAGAGACCCAGACACAGTTCTCAAAGAATTCACTCAAGTGACACACAGCAGGCATGACTCTGAATGGGGGTGCCTGGTTGGCTCAGTCAGTAGAGCATGTGACTCCTGGATCTTCTGGTTGTGAGTTCAAGCCCCATATTGGGTACAGAGATTACTTAAAAATAAGATCTTAAAAAATAAATTTAAAAAAAAAAAGGAATTTCCCTTTCTCAGTAAAAGCCCTTCAAAGCCTTCAATAAAGATGGAAAAAGCGGGGTCCTGCGGGCACAGTCGGCAAAGCGACTGAATGTCCATTTCAGCTTAGGTCCTGACCTCCCATGGTGAGATGGAGCCCCAACTCAAATCGTGGCTCCAGCCCCACGTGGAGCCTCCCAGGGGGCTCTGCTTAAGACTCACCTTCCCTGGGGTGCCTGGGTGGCTCAGTCGTTAACGTGGGGCCCTGAGCTCGCCATCGCATCGGGCTCCGCTCAGCAGGAAGCCTGCTTCTCCCTTTCTTACTTCCCACCCCCGCCTTGTGCTTCCTCGGAGTCTCTGTCAAATAAATAAATAAAATCTTTAAAAAAACTCTTTCCCTGCCCCTCCCCCCACGCTCTCTCTTCTTCCTTGCTCAATAAATAAATTAAAAAAAAAAAGAGCAAAAGGGCCCCCACCCCAACCCAGGAAACACGCACCCAACCGCAGCTATTTTATTTTCCTTTTAATTTTTCTGAAGGATATACACCACATATCCCATGGGCAATAAAGCGCATTCAATGTGTTTATAAGCCAGTCACTTTGTTTAAGCAAACACAAGTACAAAGTAAAATAAAACCACAAAATAATGAACTGCATGTTCATAACATACAAAAATCGCCGCCTACTCAGTAGGTAACTACAACATTCCAACTCCTGAATATATTTATAAATTTACATCTTCAGTTAAAAAAATAGACTTTTGAGAGTTCAGATTTTGTTTTAGATTTTGTTTTCTTACATTCTGGAGGACCGAGGCTTAGCTCAGCCCTCTTCCTTATTTTGCTCCCAAAGCCTCCCCCGAATCATCACTCCCTGCCCCCCTTAAGGCTAGAGGTAAGCACATCCCTCACAATTGCACATGTCAGGCTGTCAGCAAGGCGCATCACACAAAAGGCACCAAGACGTGAAACTTTTTAAACCAAAAGGACGAAAAGGAAGGAACACTTTCAAAAAAAGGAAGAAAAACCAAACCATATTTTGTCACATGTGAGAGTACAGTCGGGCAATATTTACAAAAAGGTTAACGGAACGTCACTCTGACACATGCTCTGATTAATACCAAGGACTGCTGTTTCAAAAAAAGCTTCAAACTTAATCGTCACAGCATCATCACAAAATAAAGGATCACCGTTGGTTTGCTTGGCTTTTCTTCCCCCCCGCCCCCCAAAGTGAGGACCTAACTCCAAATAATACAATAGAATATGCAAATTATCTTCACATCAAGAGTACCCCAAGAAAAACAAAATCCATGGCACAGACACTGTACAAGGATGCGGGGCTGGGCTCTGAGAGGCCCAAACCCCATTTTTGCCAACTTGATTTTCTAGCATTGAAGGGAGCAGGGGGTCAGGCATACGATGGAGATGATACTGAAATGATATATCCAAAATCCATGCAAATCAAGTTCTTTGGATAGAGGTGAAGAACTTGGACATGGCTGTTTCAGGCAGCTGAAGTCAAAGGGCGTAGGAACTGGGGAGGAAGGACAAGTGGGCAGAAAGGACTGCAGGCCAACAGACCTTCCACGCCAACCTTGGGGTGGAATAGAGGGGGAGGATTTGGCTCTGAGAACCTCCATTTCACTTAAGAGGAACCCCTTCCTGTGGCCATCTCCTCCTCCTGGCCGTTAAGGTTAAGTCTCTTGTGTTTCTTTTTCTCCCCTTTCCCTTCTTTCCCCTTTCCCTTTAGCAAATTTCAATTGTCCTGGGAGAAAAGGTTGTCGTCATGTCCGAAAGCCCTGTGGAGGCGCTGAAGGAGTTGGTGACAGCTGAGGAAGGGAAGCTGCTGACTTGGGCCGGGAAAGCAGGGGGAACAGAGGAGTATGTGGTGGCCACTGAGGGTGAGGGGAAGCCGCTGTGCACAGGGGATGGGTAGGTTGATGACCCGGGAGAGGAGTAGGAGGTGGGCACAGGGGATGGATATGAGGTGGTGGCTGGGGATGGGTAAGAGGTAGTAACTGGGGTCGTGTAGGAGGTAGCCACCTGGGAGGGGTAGGAAGAGAGGGAGGTGGCGGCAGAAGAGGCCACAACACCTTTGTCTGCTTTTTTGTCCTTCTGCCTTAAGTGGATCTTGGTATGCCTCTTGCGTTCATCGCTCCTGGCAAACTTTCTCCCACAGATGTCGCAGGCGAAGGGCTTCTCGCCTGTGTGGGTGCGGATGTGGGTGGTGAGATGGTCACTGCGGCTAAAGTTGCGCATGCAGATGCGACACTGGAAGGGCTTCTGGCCGGTATGGATGCGAATGTGGCGGGTGAGCTCATCAGAGCGGGAGAAACGGCGGTCACAGGACTCCACCGGGCACGCATACGGGCGTTCATGAGGGGGCGTCTTGCTGGGCCGGTTGGGGTACTTGCGCATGCGGCTGGGTTTGATGAGCTGGGACTGGTAGGTGGTGTTGAGGGCCTTCAAGTCCTGGGAGCCCGACTGTGTGGCAAAGGCCTTGATGGTAGACAGTGGAGTGAGTGAAGGCTGCTGGGTACGGCTCTCCAGGCCCTGGAAGGGCTTCTGGTCTGGGGTGCCCAGGCCCAGGTCCCCCTGCTGTTGTGGAAACAGATAGTCAGGGATCATGGGGACTTGGAAGCCACCCTTGGCAGCAGGGTAGGCAGGAGGCGGGTACTGGAGCGAAGTGCCCGCAGAGCCGGGAAAGGCCTGGCTTTGTGGCTCAGGGAAGATGTCAGTGTTAGGTGTGGGGAACGTTGGTGCCGCTGAGTAAATGGGGCTGCTGTCACTGGACTGGACTGCACAACTCAGGGGTGGGCTCTGAGAGGCGGAGGAGGAGGAGGACGCTGCCGGAGATGATGCTGAAGATGAGGTGGCCGGTGGGTTGGTCATGCTCACGAGGCCGCTGACCAGGCTGAAGAGGGGCTCAGGCCACAAGGTGTTGCCACTGTTGGGTGCAGGCTCCAGAGAGAAGCGGCCAGTATAGGTGATGGGGGGCAGCCGGGTGGTTTGGCTGGGGTAACTTGTCTCCACCAGAACCTTCTCGTTATTCAGAGAGATATCAGGAAAAGACTCTGGCAGGAAAGAGAGAAGGGGGAGGCCTGGTTACTGGAGAGCAATCACTGGAGGACGAGAAGGACCAGAGCTGCCAGGCAAGAGGTTGGGCTGGCTACCATTGACTCCTGAGCTGGTTAATAATTGATAGCAGCAGATTGCAATGTTCCTGGACCCGCTCCAGCGGCAGAGCCCATTTCAACAACAGCTGACGCAAATACGGAGAATCCCCCTCCACTGCAGCTCCCAGCTCTCTGCAGCGGCGGCTGCGCCACGGAAGGATTCCCGCCAGCACCCCTTTCACCGCGGCTAGTGCGCGCCCCCTACCCCCAGCTGCCTGGACATCCCTGGGCATGGATCGCGGCCCTTCCTTGGGGACAGGCGGCTGGCAAAGCAAGCCTGTCTGGAGAAAGGGGGGCGCAGCTCTGCTTTTCAAAACAAGCCCTCCCCCCTCTCCACCCACCCACGCAGCCCGAGCTCTCCATCCAAAACAGAAGCTAGCTCCTCTGCGCACCGCTAGGGACCAGGCGGGTGAGGGTGAGGGTGGATGTCCCTAGGCATCCCTCTAACACATGACCCTGAGGAAGGGAAGGGAAATCCCACTTGCATCCCTGAGGTCCAGAACACTGCTGCTGCGGTGAAGAGGGCGCTGCAAGGCGGTGGGGAAGGACTGCTCGCCAGGATGGTGGCGAAGGGGCTAATCCTCGGCGTAGGCCACCGCTTACCTGCGGTCAGGTGCTCGTAGGGTTGCTCGCCCGCCTCCCCCTGAGGGTTGAAGGCGCCGCTGCTGCTACCGCTGCTGCCGCCCCCTCCACCTCCACTGCCCCCGCTGCTGCTGCTGCTGTTGTTACCGCCGCTGCCCTCCGAGGCCCCGGCGGTACCGAGGAACTGGGGAGCCCCGTTGCTCAGCAGCATCATCTCCTCCAGCTTGGGGTAGTTGTCCATGGTGGGCGAGTGAGGAAAGGAGCCGAACGGGTCGGAGATCTGCAGCGGGGACATCAGCTGCATCTCGGCCTTGGCTGCGGCCATCCCGGACGGGCGGGCTGGAGAGCTGGTGTTGGGGCGGGCGGGCGCAGCCCGGAGCCGTGGCTGCGGGGGACACACTCTCGGGGGGCCTGGCCGGGTCACATGCGGGACGCGGGGGACACTGTGGCGAGAGCAGGTGGGGCCTCCAGGCTCGCCCTCGCCGCGGGCCGGTGTGGACGCTGCGCTGCTACCGAGGCTGGGGCAGGGGCCGGTCCTGCGGCGGCGGAAGCTGGCGGCGACGGTAGCTGGCGGCGGCGGCTCCCCAAGTTGTGCGCGCTGGGATCTCTCGCGACTCCCCGGATCCGCCTCTATTTGAAGGGTCTGGAACGCCACGGGCCAGCCTCCGTCGTGACGTACATGGCCATATATGGGAAGCAGGAAGCCCTAATATGGCAAGACCGGCCGGGAGGACCCGGAGTGACGTGAAGCCCCCTATCCCAGAGCCGTGGGCACCGCCGTCCAGCACTCTGGCCCCCGAGCCGACTCCCGCACCCTGGGCGCCCAGGCCTCGAGAGAGCTTAGGACCCAAGCCTCAGCTGAGGACTCCCGGACCCAGGCTGCTCCGGAGTTCCCAGCGTTACCCCCGCCTCTTCCCTCCGCCTTCTTCCCTCCTCCCGGAGCCGGAAGCGGCCGGGCCATATCAGGCCGTTCCAAATAAGGTGCTGCCCAAATAAGGGTTGTTCCGGCGGGGGATCCTTCCTGCTCCTTATATGGCATTTCCGGGTCGTTGCTTGCTGCTCCCTGGCACCCTCCCACCTCCCTGGTTCCAAGCCGGGAGCCCGAACGTGCGCAAGAGCTGGGGACGCCCAGGTGGAGGTCTCGGGGCGCGTAGAGCTAGAGCCGCGGCTCCCCGGCGAGGACTGGACTGGGGAAGCCCGGGCCCGGGGCGGGGGCGAGGGCGAGTCGGGCCAGGGTTCTGCCACCGTCATCCAGGGCCCTCCCGCCCCGCTCTGGGACCGTGGGAGCCGGGCGGGAGCTAAGGGGAGGAGTGACTGGGCTGGCCCGGGCAGAGGCCGCCCAGGAGAGGCGGAGCGTTGACCCTCCGGCCTTGACCAACGACACTATGGCTTTCCAGATGTCTTTGGGGAAACTGAGGCTAGGAAATAATCGCTAGATCATCCCCAACGTCCCTTTGCGTTGTGGTGGGCCACCTGCTTCTCAACCAGGAGCTGGTGGTCCTTGTGGTGGTGGGAGATTTTCCCACCTTTATCCAGAACAAATGGAGGTGGGGCGGGCAGTGCGGCAGTCTTAAAAGGGGGCTTCCTTATGGGCTCTCTGGACCCCGAGGCTGGCACAGAGAGGATCTGCTTAGCGGCCTGGTGCTGCCCCCTGGAGGTCCCCTCTCCAGCTCGGTTCTCTGCACCCCGGGCCGAGTGGGCTCTTCCGCCGCCTTCCTGCTCCCCCTCCCTGCTCCTGTGCTGGGCTCGGAGCCAGGGAGGGGGAGCCTTAGACGCAGTGAACACGAACTGAGCAGGCGCCGCAGCCTGGGCTCTCCCTGCAGTCCCTGGGGAGCCGCCACAGCCGAGGCGCCCAGACTCTGGGCGGGATAACACTCCCCTCCCAGAGCCAGGCTAAGGGCGGTGGTGGAGGGGGGTCGGGGGGAGTAGGCGGGAACGATTTCTGCAGGTCTCCTGGGAGCCGGACGTGAACGGGGAAGCCCTTTCGGTGCCATTACCACCCCCAGCATTCAAGTACGCACCCCAAAGTAAATAGGGATTCCGAGAGAGGAAGTTCTTGCTCTAGCTCTTAATCCAGGGGAGGTGCTGTTTTTCTGAATTTAAAAAGAAAGCAGAAAGTATGTATGTGAAAGGAGGGTGCTGAGGACACCAAGACAGAAGGGGGCGGGGCTGGGGTCTCTGAACCCAAATAGGTCGGAGTCAGGGGGGTTAATTGAAGGGGGGGGCATAGCTCTCTGGGGCTTCATCCGCCTATATCTCTTACACACACACACACACACACACACACACACACACACACACACATTTTCTGCTAAAAATCTAAGGAATCCCGCAATGAACCCTGTCTCTGTGCTCTGAGTTCCCCAACCCAAAATCCTAGGGGGAATGGGGGGCCCACTCCCACCCTCTACCGGTGTTTTTCATTAGGGGCATGAGTGATGCACCTCTCTGAGCCCTCCTGCTAGTCAGGATTAGATGGTCTTGTGTCTCAATGCCCATTTTGCCACTCCCTGGTGGGGTACCTTGGCCAGGCTTTTCAAATCTCTCTTTCTTCAACTGTAAAATGGAGCTAATGTTAATGATACCCACGTGGAAGGATTGTTTGTGAAAAAACTGAAACTTACAGGGACTGAGTCTCTGAAGTCCCAAAGCACAGTGCCTGCCTTGCGGTTGCTATTCAATAAACAGTGGCTATTGTTATTTTCAGGGGCTTTTGACCCTTGGGGTCACCCACAATTCACCCACCAATCTTCAGCCTCTGAACAAACTCCAGTGACCCTTTTCAGAAAAGTTGTACAGAGAGGGAGAAACATTCCAATTCTAACACAGGGGACATTGTCCCGAAGAGCTAATCTGAATCTTTCTTGCTGCGGTAGAACATCATTTCCCAGAGCAGAATTTTTCAACCTTGCTGATATAACAGAGTCACCTGTGGAACTCTGGAAAAAAAAAAAAAAAAGAAAGAAAAATGTTTTAACCTTAGAACAACTAAATCACAATTTTTCTGAGCTTGTGAGTGCCAGAACTGAGTCAGTTCCTCATCCTAGGATCTTCCTTCTGTCCCTGGGCTGCTGTCCAGACCCCAAGAGCACATCTCCCAAACCCAGCCGGAGCAAAACAATTCCCCTATGATTCTAATGCGCAAGATGACCTACGGTATCTTCAGGTCCTTGCTGAAGGTGGACACTGGAAATCCTTATAGTCTGCATCTTTTGTTTTGCATATGCAATAGCAATTCCCCTTTTTTTTTTTTTAAGATTTTATTTATTTATTTGACAGAGAGAGCGATCACAAGTAGGCAGCGCAGGCAAAGAGAGATGGGGGAGCAGGCTCCCTGCTGAGCAGAGAGCCCGATGTGGGGCTCCATCCCAGGACCCTGAGATCATGACCTGAGCTGAAGGCAGAGGCTTAACCCACTGAGCCACCCAGGTGCCCCTAGCAATTCCCCTTTCTTTTCACAATAGCTCCTAGCTAGTAATTTCCTTTGGAAAACCAATCCAGTCTATGCGGTTGGAGGTAGATAACCCCATCCCAGATCTAGGAGTGGGTATGTCACCCATACCTAGCCAACCATCTAGGATGCTCCAGTGGTTGAGTCAAGATGGACACATGACACAAACCAGGCCAGTGAGAAGCACCTCCAGGATTTTTTCTGGAACCCTTGAAAAAGTTCCCTCCCTAGTGGTACTAAGCCAATGGAAAGTAAGCCTGGAGGCCATCTTGCCGTGAGGACTGGAAAGACTTACCTGAAAACGAAACCAATGCAGAGGGAAACAGAAGGTATCTACAGGCAGAAAGTGAGTCTTTGATACAATCTGGACTTGTAAGTTATACAGGCCAATGCATCCCTTTTTGATTTAATAAAATAGGCTCATTTTAGTTTCTGTTCTCACAACCCAGCAGTTTCTGGTTAGTACACCCATCATCCACAACAACCAAGAATTTTTCTGAAGACTCTATGGGCAAGGCCCGGGAAGGCCTACAGAGGCCCTGCCCCCTAAGGAATTTACACTTGGGTGGAAGGAAGACTGCATTCCATGTTGCAAGAGAATTAAGAATGGGAAGCCGTCAGCCACCAAATGTCGGTTATGCTGAAGAACACAGAAGATAAGAGGAGGGAAAGATTCCAGGGAGAGGGGCAGAAATGACAAAGAGATCTTGGAGGAAAGAGAGCATGAGAAGGACAGAACTTTGTGGTGAGGAAGTGAGGCAGTTGCAGGTCAAGGTTGAGAATAGGGTGGCCAGGACAGTCCTTGTGTGCTCTGTCTGGAAAAAATGGGCTGGGACAGAAAGGGTTCCAATTGGGAGATACAGTAGGGGGTAAGGTTGAGTAAAACATTCATTTTTTAAAAAAAACAGGTTACATCTGTAAGCCACTGCTTACATCTGAGGTAGTGCTAAGTCATAGGGATTCTGCAATGAAAAAGGCAGATGTAGTTTTACCCTCCTGGAAATTGCCATTCAGTGGGTTACTTATATCCAAGTTAAACAGCTACATAACTTAAAAGGATGATTTCAGATTATGGTAAGTATAACATACTGGAGAGATGAGGGAAGACTTCTCAGAGGAGGTGACATTTATTCAGAGACATGAAGGATGACAGGAAACCAACTCTGCATAGAGGAGGGTGTTCTAGGCAAAGGGGACCACTGGGCAAAGGCCTCAGGAGGGGAAAGGCCTTGATCAGTCTAGGACCTCCAGCTAAGGTGTGGGCTATGAGATGGGATAAACTGTATCCCCCCACCCTCATCTCCCTCATTCTGCCCTCTACAGCTCCTACAGAGGAGGAGGTGGCCTTCTCAGCCCTGCTCTGCCTTCAAGGTTGTGTGGCCCTGGGAAGACAGCTTCCACAGAAACAGTGAGAGGAGCTGGCTCAAAGCCCCTACACACCCCCCAGACCTTAGCCACAGGGAAACTGGTGAGAAGAAGGGCGTGAGACGCTTCTCCCTGGATAGAGTTATGCTTTAGGGCTGCCTTCTCAGTGATAGGGCTGGAGGCATCTAGGTTATCCCC